GCATATTGTTCCCCATTGACCATTGTAATATATCTGTACAATACCTTGTACAAATGACGGAGAGTATGTTTTACCTAACAGCATCAGTGGCGCTGTTCCTAAAAATAATTAATATAAATTAAACATGCTAGTCACATCCATTTTCCATAATAGGTCAATATATATGTAGATGAGGTTGAGGGGGGTAAGGGGACTTTGAATACCGCAATACCGCACAGAAAAAGGTGCAATAAAATTCACCAAAATACCGTCACCGCATTTGCGTGTCTGAAAGTAGGCGCTTTGAGAAATATTTCACTAGAATTGCAATTTTAGACTTTCTTAATAATTTGAGGTCAACTGACATTGGAGTTGGAAGCCTGTCATGAAAAGACCAACATGTCCACTACCATTGGTTGGCTTACTGTGTAAACTGATGCGCCGACAGACAGAACCCTTGCCACCGTCGGCCTTGCATTACAATGGTGAAAAATGTCCAACATTTCATCGCAACTATTTTTTTACCGATCACCGATGCTTCATTTTCAAATTTACCGCAAACCGCGTATACTTTTAAAACCACATTACCGCATTTAAAAATAAAAATTACCGCAATACCGACCCGAAAATCATTCAATACCGCATCACCGCGAACCCTTACGCCCCCCTCGAGGGTGGACGGAGGAGGTGGGATGAAGTGACAATGTGGTGATTCCAGTGGCAATCTGATAGTGATAATGATATTGCAAAAAAGTAGAATGGGCCCTAGCACGATATCCCTACCTGAATTACACACGATGCCTACGTCCTCGCTGTGATCACAGTCATGTTTACCCCATCCTCGGTGATGGCACTGATCTACTGTAGATTCTACACCATTACAATCAACTTCATCAAGCCAAATTGTATTAGTTCCTTGTCCTACGTGCTTGAACGTCACTGCCCTCTCGTACCCAAGCTGTTTACATGCTATGTTTGTGTCAGTCATGTCCCAGCCGTCATCACATATTGTTCCCCACTTGTTGTTGTGAAAAATCTGTAAAATGCCTTGAACTGTTGTCCGGGTAAATGTTTTACCCAACAACCTCAACTCCTTACCTAGAATAGAAAATCAGGAACAGACTAACAATAAAAAATACTTAAGGATCAGATCAATATCGCAGGCGAGGGGTGGATGGGGTTTGGCTGTTTAGTAATTCACGGCAAAGTTGTGTACAACCCGAGTTCTTATATGCGATGTTTTACTGTAGCAAATTGGAAGCAATAATAATTCAATGCCATGATAGTAGTAATAACATTATAAAATAACTGTTTAGTATCACAATTAGAAGATCGTTATACCTGAATTACACACGATACCAACGTCTTCACCATGCCCGCAGTTATGAACAGCCCATCCTCCGTGAGTGCACTGATCTAATGTAGATTCACCGCCATTACAGACAACGTCATCTAGCCAAATTGGACCAGTTCCTTGTCCTAAGTGCGTGAACGACAATGCACTATCGTAGCCAAGCTGTTTACATGCTATGTTTGTGTCAGTCATGTCCCAGTGATCATCACATATTGTTCCCCATTGACCATTGTAGAAAATCTGCAAAATACCTTGAACTGATGACGATGAGGTTGTTTTACTCAACAACCTCAATGGCGCTGCTCCTAAATAAGAAAGATTATATCTTATATATTATTAGAGTTTGCTGAAGAAGGCCGAAGTGCCGAAACGTCCAATAAACAGAGTTATTATAGCTTGAAGTTGGTGTTTTGTTCTATTTCATTCTACTTATATATTATTGAAGAAAAAGGCACTTAACTTGCAACTTGGTTTTTCTACTCTTTAATGAACGTTTACATATATAAAAAGAAAGTTTATGCTGGCCTGATGTCTTATCAGCAGATTAGGAATAATGATAATATCTTAATCATAATGCAAAAATATAGTAGACGGCAAACACTGGGGACACTCGAACTAAAGTTTCGAAAATACCCCTAAAAGGTCCCGGAAGTCTTGATAAAAAGGCGTGGCTGACTGATATTTAAGCCCTAAGAGATTGCATAACAAATATTGTTAAATATATTGTTAAGAAATCCTACGAATCCGCCATTTTTGTGTCCACCTAAAATGGCGCTTCGCCTCGCTAGGTACGGCGGTTGGTTATGATTCTTTAAAGGGTGATAGTCAAATGACACAAAAGAAAACAGTGCAATTGGAGCGTATTAATTAAGAAGTATTAGGCCCTGTATACATTAGATAGGGTGGATTTAGGTGAAGAGCCAAAACTCTTTTTTTTTTCAATCTTCCGTGGAAAAGAAAACAAAGAAGTTAGCCTTGTTACGTAGGGGCAACCTATCCCAAGTAAACAGGCCTTAGTGTATCTATTTCACGGGTTTTTTTACTTCACTCTTGCTTTACGCTTTACGCTTTTAGTGTTTGCTCTATTCCAGAACATCAGGACATCGTTACCTGTACACTCGATACCAACGTCCTCGCTGTGCCCGCAGTTATGAACACCCCATCCTATGTGAGTGCACTGATCAAGTGATGATTCCCCGCCATTACAATCTACGTCATCTAGCCAAATTGGATCAGTTCCTTGTCCTAAGTGCTTGTAGGTCGATGCACTCGTGTAGCCAAGCTGTTTACATGCTATGTTTGTGTCAGTCATGTCCCAGTAATCATCACATATTGTTCCCCACTGACCATTGTGATAAATCTGCAAAATACCTTTTACCGATAACGAAGAATATTCTTTACTTGCCAATCTTAATGGCTGTGCCTTTCCTAGAAAAAAATAAATAAATAAACGGAACATTAGAATAAATTTAGGAAGGACTCGAATTTTAAATGTAGATTGAAATAACAATCTTCACAATTGCGATGTTTATAATGACAAATAGTATTGAACAACCTTGATTAGTGGCGCTGTTTCTAGAAAATAAAGAATGACCAATAAGAGACGAGAACTCTATTAGTGAGTGTCAGTAGTACTATTACACAAATAACAAAAATGCGATATTCTTTATACTTTATAGTTTAATTATCATGTATATTGGTATGATAGCAACGTTAAATTTCTGGACTGGTCGTCAAAAACGTCACACGATTAATTAAGGTAGATCACAACTAATGAAACGCAAATATTGTACTTTCTTTGACTCGCTCGCTTCGCAAAAGTATTTAGTCAAACGTGCTGAAATTTTGATGTAACATGCACTGATTATTGCAGTTTTTTTTTTCAGTTGTCATTATTTAGTAATTTATTGGCTGGTTTTAAAGATACAGCGAATTTTCAAACACTGATCACCTTGAAGTTTTCAGAATTGGTATATCTCATCAAACTGCATAAAGGCTATGAATTTGGTTGTAAAAGCTCGGGCAGAAATAACGATACGAATTTGTCTCAAAATATGACCTATGCATAGACAAACAGCCGTATATATTAAATAAATGTACAACCGATTGCCATGATCTTACGATATGTTGTACATCAATTTGTCAAAATTAGTGTGTGGATTTCAGATCTATAATTTTCAAATGGAAAGAATTACAATATTTTTTACTGGTGAAGCATAGTAGCTAAAATACTACAATAATCACTGCATGTTATGTCAAAATTTCAAAACTTCGGCGACGTGTATTGCAAGCTTATGCCAAATAAATCGTGTGAAACATCTTCTTGACAGAAACACCTTGGTTAGAGTCATAACATCATTTGTGTTTTCTAAAATGTTTCATTGCTCGACTGTGTGGTCAAATACTAGCAAAAAGAACATTGCCAAGCTGCAGAAAGTCCAAAACTTTGCAGCATGCAAGAATCGTAACAGGTAAAGGCATGAAGGCAAACACGAACGCATTACACCTGAAGTGCTCAAAGAATTATCATGGTTACCAGTTACTGAAAAGTTAAAGTACTTCGTCGGCTGCCTTGCTTTCAAATGTCTGAATGGACTAGCTCCTGAATATCTGAGCTCATGTTTTGCAAACAGATCTACAGTGACATAAACGCAACACAAGAAATAAAAACAAGTTAAATATTACGAAAAGGATTACGAGAAGATTTATCATTTTATTAAGTGTATATTTAAGAATATATTTAAGTTAAATATTACAGCATTTTTAAAAAAGTGCATCTGGCAAGCAGACTTTCGCCTACAGGCCAGTAACACTATGGAATAAGTATGAAGTATATATGGCAATTATTGTATTTTAATATTGAATCTTACTAAATATTTATTCGATGTAAATAGAGGCTGAAAAGCCATCCATGGAGTCCTTTATTAAAGTTATTATTATTTTTATACATTTCAGCACGTTTGACTTAATACTTTTGCGAAGCGAGCGAGTTAATAAAGTACAAAATTATTGTTTTATTGTTTGTGATCCACCTAAAACTAGGACTAAAAAATGCGAACCTTGTTAGGCAAGTAGTGAGCTTCCCGCGGTCGCGCGCGTTTCTACACAAACGTTGGGCAGACGAATGTAAGGTGTTTAGTCTTCATTAAGTATGAATATACTGATTCCTTCACTCACGTAAGACCAGCATTAAGATTTACGGTGACAGAACCCAGTCGCGAAGCGTCCTTTACGTATATACGTACGTGCGAACTAGTGGGCAAGGAAACTTTAAAATTAATACAAAAATTACTGAAAAATTAACATAAAATTGATTCCTTTTATATGCCCTCGATGTCTCTCAAAACGCTGGAAATCACATTTCCAAGAGTTATTATTTCAAAATTGGCGGTCGTTAGACCAGACGCTACGCGACTGGATACGTGCTATAAACACTGGGAACAGGTATTGAAAATAAAGATAGTGGCCGTCAAAATAACGTGAATAATATAGAAATGCATGCAGTAGTACCAAAATCAAGAGATCATATCCTCACCTGTATTGCACACGATACCAACGTCCTCGTGGTGACCGCAGTTATGGACACCCCATCCTATGTGAGTGCACTGATCAAGTGATGATTCTCCACCATTACAATCTACGTCATCCAGCCAAATTGGATCAGGTCCTTGTCCTAAGTGCTTAAACGTTGATGCATTCTTGTAGCCAAGCTGTTTACATGCTATCCTTGTGTCAGTCATGTCCCAGTTATCATCGCATATTGTTCCCCATGAGCCATTGTAATGAATCTGCAAAATTCCTTGGACTAATGACGGAGAATACGCTTTACTCAACATCCTCAATGGAGCTGTTCCTAAGGATGGGGTAAAGGATGCGTTTTACTATTTCAGTTCTATTATTAAAAACAGTTAATTCATATAACTGCCTAAATTGACTTTGCGATCATAGAATATGCCATGATGATTGGATGTGATGTGATGCCCATGAGAAATTCCGCCGATCGGACTACCCCCTTTTCGCGCGAATTGGATATGTCGCTGTTGTATATATAGAAATGTTCTTGTTCAACGCCAATATATTACGTTTCATAGCTGGAAATTAAGGTTAAGTTCATAGGCAATATATGATTACGAGTTGACTGAGTTCTGTAAAACATGGTTTCTAAATCCTGTACATTTCGCAACTTGCCAACATATCTCCCTTTTCATTTATCCAGCTAGTTTTGTTTTAAGGATCGGTCACTTCATACATTTCGTCTTCCATTGGGTTATAGATGGTAAATATATATGAGATCATTGAAGCGTCCGCTGCAAATATGATTTGCTTAAAGTACCCCGGAAATAAACTAACATCGCTTTGCAGTTCTCTTCCAAGCCAATTACCGAAATTTCTTTTCAAATTATAATGGCGTTAGACTTTGTTCTTATGTAGTTTACAATGAATCTATTTGAATTTTATACTCTTAAATGGTGTTTTAAGCTTTTGTGCACTTTGCGTATCATGCTTGTATACTTGCTAATGGTAATCCATAGATTTCGATCCTTGATGTCGAAAGTAACTTACCAAATGCACAGCAAATCCAAACTGCCAAAAACCAAATAAGGAAAACGTTCACTTTCTCCATTCGTTAATAGTCTATTAATTTGGAATTTACTTATTGCTGCTTCATTCACAAATATAAACCTAGCTTTGCTGGTGTCTTTTCAACTTATGTTTTGACTCCAGCGTTCAGTCCCTCGAATTTTTTCCATTCCTTGACACATGGTCACATGCATGACAGACGGCAGGGGTCGTTGTATCGAAAATGAGCAGTCCGACAAATCGTACACAAGAAAGCCTTCTTCTCGTTCGAATTGTACTAAATAAAATATCCTTTTTTGATTTCTTAGGTTGATTTGAAAGGCTTGTATTTTATTCAATTTCATAGCTGTTGTAGCGAGAATGCGAAGCGAACAGAGCAATATAGCCTATACTATCGATATTATTTGGTTGACTGACCACGCACAAGAATTGAAGAAACGAAAGGGTCTTCAATCGGAAAACCAATAGAAAAAATGCGTTTGTCCCGAGCTTTATTCTCGGTATACCATTCAACCAAAATATCGTTAGGAAGCCATTCTCGTACCCAGATCTTTCGCAAAACCAAGAACACAGACCTTATTTGAAATATAAAATCATAGTGCATTGTGGTCTAGCTTCAGCACAAACAACGCTATATTTGGCAGCATGAACAAAAGATGTTTGTACTGAGCCTGGATCACAATGCAATGCAAACTGGACAAACTGCTATCTCAGAATAGGAAAGAACCATTCGTTTCCAACTAGTCTTGACTTTGCCGTTGGAAATTAAACTGAGAAACTGAGCTCTGTGTATGAGAATGAATGCCAGCTTAGTTTCAACCTTTTTCTCTTATGTCTACTAGCTATATTAATCACCCATAGGGTCAGAACACACTCAATAGGTCTCCTCCAAATTAATCAGTGTCCAAGTCATTGATAGATCCTGTTATGACGGGATCGGTATTGGTGTAATGTCCTTTCATCTCAAGTAGCCTTAGATATGTGTCGCCTTTAAATGCACTGAACTTATGGCTGGGCTGCCTTAATTAGGAGAGAGTGGTAAGACGAGGCGGCAGTCGATCCATTTTTTGGTGGTTTGATCTATGCTTTGGACCAAGCAGAGTGCGTGCGTATAAGACGAAATGACCATAGAATGTGTAGGGGACAGAAGAGGACCATGTACACCTATTTTCAAGGAGACTGTCAATGAAGACTAAGGACATCACTCATCATCAGTCATCATCATTTATAAAAGCAATTAAAGTTAAGTTTGTTTTAGGATTCTTTAGTTGTTTTTAATGCATTCTTTCCTTACAAAACTACGTAAATGTTCTGATTCATGATGTACAACGTTTGGCAAGCAGATCGCATATGTACAGGTATCAGTCAATACTGCAAATGCGAAAATTATGACTAATGCTTACAGGTCTAACTGTAGCTCTAAAAAAATGCTTTTCATTTTTTTTTACAAAACAACAGCTGAGTGGCTTCCTTTATCGATATCATGCATTATTTATTCTTTTAACTTTTTTTAAGTTTTTCTATCTTAATCTCTATGACGTCTCAATGTCAATCACATATAAGCGCTCTAGATCATTAAATTATATAATAAAGCGAATGCTATATTYTTTTCTGAAACTTTAGTAATTACTTTATACACTGAACTCATATACTGATAGATTGGACCAGTAAAGTGCTGTATATTTTAGCAAACTGAAACGAATATTTATTAAACAAGCACGACGTGTTTTCATTTGGCTTACTTTGTAAAGGTATAATGTTAATAATTCGTCTTCATAAAGTGAAGTGTAAGAGCTAAGACACCGAAGTTTTCGCTTGAATGCAGGGAACGCCAACTACGTAAAACGAAATTGCTTTGCGTCAATTGCCTGTCAATACGCACTTGAAGTGTTTATTGTGTATCGCCATTAAGCAAACATTTCGACAGCCCTATCTATAGTCAAGTAATTAGAACTTCCGGTACTTAAAATATTGATAGACTTCAAACCATTCAATAAGGGACTTTCAAGGGGACAGACAATTTTTATTTGCAGTAGTCTATTTGGTCCTCACGTTTTTTAGGTTGCAAAAATTTGTAACCACTGAATTTCTTTATAACTCGTGGAGGAGAAGAGAAACATGATATTAGAATGAAGTATTTTATTTTTATTTTATGCGCCTAATATGTTAACTATGTCTTAATTCGGGTAAAGGGAAAAGCATGGCACTTGACTGGATAATTTTTTTTTCTTTGTGCGTAGCGACGAGGATCTTTGATCTATTTCAGATGTGGACATTTTCATATATCGGCTCTTCAATTTGGTGTATTCTGCCGGATCTCCCCTAAAAAAAAGCAAAGTCAAGTAAGGAAACGTAGTTCAACAGCGTCGTTACCTCATAACGTACACGTAAAAAAAAGACACATTATTTTCATTTCACCTACATTTAAAGAAGGGTAACGCAAGTCAAGTGAAATTTGGTATATGAAACTACCGAGATAGTCCCTTTCGGTCATACTATTTCCCTTCGAAAATCGCCGTTCTCCCTGACAACGTTTTTTGAAATAGGTGTAATGATATATAGAGCACCCTCTGCGGCAATCTCGTTCCAGAGCCCGCGTTCCTCTTGGCCTGAGGGCGCGAGCAACCACGAACTCTGGCCTAATCCATATTTTGCGCGCTTTTCATTGGTCGATAGAATTTCCTCATTAAGAATATAATGCGGACGTCTCCGGAAGTAAAATTTGACCAATCATAGTTGCGAAAAACAGCGTCAAAATTCGGGCGCGAGCGCGACAAGGAGTCCTCGCCCCACTGAAGATGTTGCAAAATTGTAAACAAAAATTAATTGTAAAGTTTAGCAACCATTTTTCTTTTTGACACGCATGCACAATTTAACCGGAACACCAGAAAATCTGATGAAAAATATGGATTAGGCCAGAGTTCGTGGTTGCTCGCGCCCTCAGGCCAAGAGGAACGCGGGCTCTGGAACGAGATTGCCTCTGCGGTCACTGGAAAAAAATCGCGCAGGCCGTAAATTTAATGGAAATATGATGTAAATTCAATCCATAATAATAACAAAGGTTGTAAATATCCCGTAAGTGTCCAAAATCATTGAAATATTACTTACATCATTTTTACATCTGAAATTTATAGTGCGGTTTCTTCCAGTGGGTCAGTTCATTATTCTTCATACTATACTACACTCTGCCTTAACCAATGACAATATAAGCTGTTTTATCTGCAAAGTATATATACAGTAATCTATATTCTGCTTTAGTCGTAGAGGCACTCACCGTTCGACTGATATTTGCGACATGGTAAGCTAATGATGGCTGTTCTTCAACATAACCATTATTATTCTGAGACTTTGTCTGGGGACTCAGTGACTGATAGATGTCCTGAGAATTGTGAGGCAACCTGAGTACATCTTCTGTGAAGGTAAACGATTTGACCCTGAATCAAGCTGTGTGACTGTTTGCGCATTTTTTCAGTATCTCAGTCTCTTTGTCGGGATACAAATTTTAGACCTGTTGCAAGTTGCTATTCGTTGCACGAAGAACAACAGCAGCACCGAAATCGCACGTGTGTGTGAACTGGGACTGAACAAGAGCTCGAAAAAAAAACGTGATTTATCGTTATTAATCGACACATCATTTTCATAGAAAGTATGAAAAATATTACTCAGTAATTGAAAATAGATGATTACTTGTTCTGTTTTGCTGTGGCGGGAAATTTAGTTCCTGGTATTGCTGGTCAGAACTTTCTCCTCTTTTGGCACGTGCCGATGCTAAATCTGTTGATATCAAAGTGATTTTTTTATCGCACTTGACTGATTTGATAGAGTGGCACTTTGCGTTGCAAATCATAAATTTACCTGAGATTTCCATCGTTGTTCGATTATTATCGGTGCGGCCATTCCTTTGCTTTGTTCTCTTCTTCGTCACCACGTTATAAACAATGTATACAATCAATGCGACGATTGTAATTGCCATAACAACAGATAAACCAGTCACCAATGGCTCTTTGTTGCTAGAATTCTTGGAACGTTCTGATTTACATTGTAAAATACAACGATAAAAGCTTTGATATTTTTATTATCAAAATTGACAAACATTATCATCTTTTGAATTGCTTGTCATCGTTTTCTACTATAGGCCAGCACGTTTGATGATAAAGCAATCAGTAAGTTCTAGACAAATCTTTGCACCATTGCAAATGTTGTTAATCAGGAATTCATGAAAATCAAGACGTATTCAACCGTCAACCGTCATCCCTTGCGATCTTTTAATTATTTAGATAAATTGTAATATAAGCGAAAATCCACTCTTTATTATGATCACTTTATGTCTCTGTGAATTGAGATATTCAAATCCAGGCCTTTTAAAACCGATAGATGAAAACAGATTTCGAATGATTTGAGATCACCTCATTTTCTACACATGAAAAATCTAGCTGAACGCGACCGCATTGAATGTCGGTTGGCCATGTCCCTTTTTTAAACGATGTTTAATTCCGTGGATTGTTTTACCTTGTGTATCGGCGTGCATACCATCAAATTTTGTTGTAAAAGATACAAATGTCGCATCACTGATATCTCTTTTCTAAAAATGAAATAATTAACCATAATTTGCTCTCCAAAGTCAGCAAACAAAGATGGAGACTCTCGAACAAGTATGCTATCCTTATTCCAGAGGCGATTATTACGTTATTACGATACAAGTTTATATATAATCACCCTAACCTCGTTCAATGTTATGATGATGACTTTTAAGTAAACTCTATACGTACATCCGGGCTCTAATGGTGGGTTTTTGTAACCATGGTAATATGCATTGTCGCCGATGGTGAAGGTAGAACTGGTAGTTGGTATCTCTGCAGCGATGTACGAATGGTTCGCTGCGAATTTTGTTGATTGGAAAACATCTTTGTATGTCCTTTCGACGACAACTTGATACCATCTAAAACGCAGATGGAATTTTTAGTTTGTCATAGCATTTGCGTTATTATTCGATTTCTAAAACGAAAGAACAGCGTTTATTATTGAAAAAGGAACAACACAAGCAATCAATCCTGTTTGCTAAGATGGGAAGATGAATAAGTAGTGAAGAAAGGTTGAAATGGTTTCTACAAGCTTAACTGCGTATACAGTTAAGATCAGTTAATGAATGTCTTTTGCTTTTTATCAGCATTATCATTTTTAAATTATTGCTTTATCTGAACTGATATATGAAACGAGATCTCAGAGCGTCATGTACCATATACGCAATGCATTGTAGGATATGTTTGGAAAAGAACATGGAAGATTTCTACTTTCTCTAATAACAGATCCCGCAAAGCATTGGAAATTAAGTAGTGACGTTAAAGGTTCAGACGTCTATTATTTCCTATATCATTTTTCTATTTGCTCAATGAACAGACGAAAAGTTGTGGCTCTTGAAATGTATGTCAGAACCAGTCTCAAAGTAGCACGAGTATACACCCTTTTAATAAGTCCCGAGGTATTGTGTTCTCCGCACTTGACGTCAAATTTATTCTTTTGAAATTTTTACAATACAAAAGGAATTCAAAAGAATAAATTTAACGTCAAGTGCGGAGAACACAATACCTTGGGACTTATTAAAAGGGTGTATAGTACCGGTTGGGTCTTGGTAAGTTCTGCTGTTTGCCAATAAAGGTTATTTTCGCTGATGTTTGATTTATGGAAATGCTGCTTGTTACTTCAAATTCTGGAGGATCAACTATAAAACATAAAAAGTTAAAAAATCAAAACAGAAATTTATTTCAGATTTTGAATTGTCTTACTTTTTGGTCTTGTTGTAAATCTGGCAAAGCTTGATTTTCCAAAAACCTTTTTCTGAAAACAAAATAAGAGGATTTATTTCTTCCTTCATGTGTCTGACAAAATGAGGCAAAGAATAGAGAATGTTGACGGATGACAGCCAGCCTGCCATTTTTTTACACCACTTTCAAAAATGGCGGTAGTTCACGAGCGTCAATATCGGAGGCCTAGTGACGAAGCATGGAAACAAGACCTCAAAGTCCTCGCATGTATGGGAGAGCCTACGTAGCACTCAGTTGATGTAATATATTCATAAAGATACAAAACACATAATACAATAGAACGAGAAACAATGGAATACAATACATTTTATGAATACATTACATCAACTGCGTGCTACGTAGGTCACCCCTCGCATGTATGTCTGTGTCAAAAGTGTTTTGACAGAAAACACTCTTGCAAAACACCATGGAAGTTTACTATAGTGAGGATGGTCTTTGGGACCTCGTTTCAGTGCATTGTCTGATCACCAGTTCCCTGGTCAGAACCGTGACATATCGCGCCATTTTTGAAAGTCGTGAATAATGAGTTGATATTGCAAATTACCCTGTTCATTGCCATGGTGACAACCCTCACTTGCACCCTATATATACATCCGGGGTCTAGGGGTACATTATGGTAGCCACGGTAATTTAGGCCATCGCCAATAATAAAGCTTTTGGCATTATTTGGAGTTGTTGGAACCTCTGCAGCGATGTAAGCATCACTAAACACTGTCTTGCTGATGGCGGGGCATATCTCTATAGATACATTGTTGGTTGAAGTGATAGGGGATGGCATTTCTCGACCCTTTTCCACTATAAATTGATACGAACTGCAGGAAACGGAGAAATTAAATATCAGGGTCAGTAAGAATGACAGTAAGCGTGATGAAGAAGGCAATCTCACCTTTTCAAACGGGCATCAAATGACTTAGTTGTTTTGGTTAGGCTCAAAGTCACTGTGCAACATGTAATCTGGTCTTTTGCTTCGATTTGGAAATGAGGAGCATCAGCTTGTTTAAAAAAACAACAACAGTAAATTACAATGAACGTTATAAGACAAAATCTAGCCTCCCTCACAGTCACCTCTACTTCGCGGGATCCCTGTGTTTAGTGAAAAACGATACCGGCGGGGAAAGACGTAAGAAGAGATAATCAATACAGGAAGACCAAGAAGAGAAGAAAGTCCATTTCCGTTGGAGTCGCCTGCGAAGGCAGCTAGAGAATATCATCGAATGCATGGTGCCTACTATGTTTTGTAAATTACATAACTCAAAAATATTTACCTATCTTGCACGTGACGGCAGCGTCCTGATCATGACTACAATTTCTCGTTTGCCACCACCCTGAGTGTCCACAGTCAACAATTGAATCTTCTGCTCCGTTGCATTCAAGGTCACTAAGCCAAATGGTACCATTTCCAGGAATCGTAAACACGTGACTTACTCCATCATAGCCAAGCATGCGACAGATCACTTTAGCATCGTTCGTACTCAGCCCTTTGTTGCAAAGAGTGCCCCAATTGCTATCATAGAGAATACCAACTCGTCCAGAATGTGGTGTGCTACTGTTTTCTAAACGAATGTCGATTGCTGTTGTGCCTGAAACATTAAGGAAAAAAGGTATAGAAGTTTGATGAAGGGACCCTTATGAGCCAGGGTTGCTTAATAAAAATGATTCATAGAATAGTACACAGTCCTACTCGTATTGCAGGTAAATCTGTTTGAAGGGGAAAAAAATGATTGTAGTTTGTACAAATAAATCAAACTGAATTGTACCCGTCTTGCATGTGACTACAGCATCGTGGTCACACGAGGTCTGCCACCATCCTGTGCGACTGCAATTCAGTATTGAAGCCTCAGTTCCATTACACTCAACACCACTAAGCCAGACACGACCATCAGCAGAGCTTGGTGTCATTACAGCGTAAACATGATCAACATCCACATATCCAAGCATTCGACATATTACTTTCACATCATGGTAGTCCAGTCCTTGGTAGCATAGAGTACTCCATGAATTACCATAGCGAATACCAACTCGACCAGAATGGGGAGTGGCATCCCCGCTTTCAAGGCGTACCTCTAATGTCAGGGGATCTGTAAGTATGGGAATAAAGTGATTACAAGACCTCAAGAAGCGCACATGCAATGATTCGGCAGGCAGACACGTTTGTAGTGAAGAGAGTTTGTCGATTATGAAATATGTATATTATAGTTTTATTTTAAAAGCCTCAACACTTGTATTTGTTATAACTAACTCAATTTGACAATATATAATCCCTCGACAACTTCACAACTCAGCGAATCCATCTTATATTGCCATAAAAGGTTTATCATTGTCTATAATGCAATGTTGAAATCCATCTATTGTTTTACCTTCCTGACCAGAACACCTGAGTCCAACGTCATTGGAATGATGAAGATACCAAGCATACGAGTATTGCTCACAGTACTCAAGCGATGTTTCGTTGCCCTTGCAATGTTTGTGAATCCTCATGATAAAACCTTTTCCTAGCACTCTGGCTCGACCAGTCCATGATGCGTTACGGTATCCTAACATATGACAAACTACGTAAGCAGCTTTCAAGTTCCATGAGCTATACATGTCACTAACTGTGCCCCAGACTCCAGAATATCCAATCTCAACTCGGCCGTCGTTCAAAGATGTGCCGTCCATCAAACGGACGGTGAATCTAGATCCTTGAACGAAAAAAGGTATGTCACAGAATTAGTCACAATGCCCAGCATAAACGAATGTGGGTGTTGAAAATCACGGGAGAGGCAAGGTAAGAGCTAGCGTAAGATGTGTTACCTGCATCTGTTTTGCAAGCTATCCAGCTGTTATAATGGGAATTTCTGCCAGACACATGATACAACAAACATTGCTCCACAGTGCTCTCAAGCCCACTGCAATCGATATAGATACGAAATATAGAACTTTCACTACTTTCTTGAAGCTCATTGACGCCAATGGACTGATTGTAACCCATCATCCTGCAGATCACATTAGAGTTTTCTTTCCAGTGATAATATCCAAATAAGCTCGAAAAATACACCGGTTTCCATGAGCCATAATATCGCATTTCCAGTCGTCCTGCATGAGGAGCTTGTGCACTCACGAGGCGGAATGCAACATTCGGTGTACCTTAGAAAGAATTGGTGAAAGTTTATAAGACAGTTTATAGTCTTCAATGTAGCTCATTTTAAACATCATGTCTAATAATAGTAATGCCTTATTCCTTTCCCTATACGCCCCCTTGCCTTGTGTCTCTTAGCCAAGGGTTACCCACTGTCCTTCTTCTCTCCTCCGGGGTAGTGACAGGGACAAGTCCAGAAAGTTTTTTCTTTTGTTTTTCTGTCTGTATGAATCATGCAGGTCACATCAATATATATTTCTATATATTTTTAAGAGATTTCCTAAACGTAGGAGGACCACCGGCCACTGACCCTGAAATCACGTGCAAATTTACACTCATTTGTAAATACCTGATTTACAAATAACACCGGCAAGGCTGTTATTCGAACAAGTCGCCTTTCCCCAGTTAAGGTTTGTACATGACTCAATGAACTGTTCATAGCCATTACAGCTAGAACTGGAGAGCCACACGTCACCAGACCCTTTGTAGTGATGAAAGTATACAGCATAACCATCAGGATAGCCCGCCATTCTGCATATGACATTGGCTTGAGATGAATACCAATTCGAGTCGCAAAGGTTTTTCCAGACACCCCTGTAAAACAATTGTACCCGACCAGCATTAGGCACATCACCAATCAGTCGAACTTTGACAGGAGGACCTGAATTTGATGGCAGATCTTTAGCAATAACATCGGATATAATCAAATATAAATGTAAATACTTCTAGCTTATACTGGGTATCCATCAAATAATTGGTTACGGTCATCATCTAGATATCGTATATTGAATCTATACATTATATCGCAGTGAAGATGTCTTTACCTGTATAACACACAATACCGACATCCTGGCTGTGACCGCAGCCATGAGTTCCCCATCCTCTGTGTGTGCACTGATCTACCGATGATTCCCCACCATGACAGTTAACGCTGTCAAGCCATATTGGATCAGGTCCTTGTCCTAAGTGCGTGTACGTAATGGCGCCATCATAACCAAGCTGTTTGCATGCTACGTTTGTTTCAGCCCAGTACCAGCTGTTACTGCATATTGTTCCCCATTGACCATTGTAGTATATCTGTAAAATACCTTGTACTAATGACGGAGAAGATGCTTTACCCAACAATCTCAGTGGTGCTGTTCCTATGAATGAAATAATGAAATAGAACCTACCGACCTGGTCTTTTGATTACCAGCAAAAGTGCTGGAATTGCCTTATTTTGATCTATTATATATTACGTACTCCAATGCAACGCAGCACTAACTTGGACAAAGGAATAGAGTCATTTTCATCCGTCTGTGAAATAGGATTTGTATTATTAAATACTATATCACCCCTATTAGCCCCCAATTGTTTAACTTATGACACGCAACAAACTGATTAGGCAAAAATGGTTTTGATTTTGCCTTTTGGTAGCCTACTACACCCTAATAGTTACTATTAAACACTGACTAGTAGTAATTGTTTCACAGACGGATGAAAATGACTCTACAGTCTCGAGATCTTATTTGTGTAGCCTTAACCTCGAAAGCATGCATGTATAAATATATTTTTTATTCAGCAGAGAATCTATTGTTATGCAATCACTCGGTATACCATTAGAAGACATTATAAAACTTATTAATAATGCATAAGCTATTGCTCCAATAAGGGCTGACCATTTAATCAGGTGATTGACCTTGATACAACCACTAGTGGTTGTATCAGATTTACAACACGGTCGTCACCATTGAGACAACCCAACACTAGCAAAGGTCTCAGTTTTAGTGTCGCATCATAGACCTTCACTAGGTTTTGAAGCAATCAAAGACGGATAACAGAACTCGCTTATGCAACAGATGGCTTGCTTTCCATGTGGGATGGATAATTATTCAAAATGTTCTGTGTTGCAGTAAATTGCGCATGCTTAATAGGGACTAAACTCAGCAGTTACCTTATTTGTCATTTTTCGTCATTTATCTCACTGTAATTCATGTTAATTTGTGTTGGAGTTTTATAAGTCGTTTACAACATTCGCGTCCGTGTTGTATGGGAATTACAATCTCTCGCCTGCGGCTCGAGATTGTAATTCCCATACAACACGGCCGCGAATGTTGTAAACTATACATAAACAATTTATGCTTGATTGAAGCTAAGCTTGCACAAAAGGGAATTCGAAACTGGAGTATTCGAAATATCATGAATACGAGTTCCGTGTCTTGTAAAAACTGCTTTCTCAGGGAAAGTACATGTGAAGATGTCATACAAATGTATCTCAAATATCTCATCCCTGTTTGGCTTGTCACAATAACTTTTCAGTCAAGGCCCCACTTACATCTTTTATTTAATCTTTCTTTAATCTAGCAGGGGCGGATCTAGCATTTTTACAGACTAGTTTCCAACTAAAAAAATGTTGTATTGACATATGATAATTAATTAAAACATGAAT